CAGACTCACACCTACCTGCTCACGGCCAGACTCACACCTACCTGCTCACGGTCAGACTCATACCTAGCAAACACCCATTGCTGCTGAGTCAATTCCGACTCACAGCGATCCTGTAGGACAGAGCGGAGCTGCCCCATAGGGTTTCCAAGGCTGTCATCTTTACGGAAGCAGACCCCACATCTCCCTCCTCGGCCCGCCTCACACCAGGGCTCAGTCTATACTGGCTTTTATCACTACAGTTTAGTGTTGATCTCACTTGAGCTAAGCGCTGATTTCAGGAGTGTTTTTATGCTTATATATCAACAAAATCAAACATGCTGCTGTCGATTCTGACTCACAGCGACCCCACAGGACAGAACAGAACTGCCCCACAGGGTTTCCAAGGAATGGCTGGTGGATTCAAACTGCTGACCTTTTTGTGAGCAGCTGAGCTCTTAACCACTGTGCCACCAGGACTCCATGCTTATATATAAGACCAGTAAAAAGACATCTTCCTTTGCCCTGTATTACAGACCCTCTTGGCAGGACCCAACATATCTGACGAGAAGAGTTTCAGGTTTGAGGGGCCCGGGTGTCGGCACGCACGCATGTCAACGTGGGCTGAGCGGGGGCTGTGGGATGGGGGGAGCTGCCACAGGTGTCTGAAGATACGTTCTGCTCACAGAAAGCCCTTGCGGGAGAAGCTGCAGTGAGAAACACCAACGCCTGTGTTCCGGACATGGCACAGATTCACCAAGAGGGTAACAGAGTCGGTGAGCAGAGGAGCCCCAGGGAGAACGGTACCGCCAACAGCTGTAAACGTTTAGGTGTTCTCTGCACCCAGCTGTGTGCTGTCTGACACAGATTACCTCATTCAGTCCTCAAACCCACTCGATGAGAAAGGTACCGCCAGGTCCACCTTTTCCCCCAAGGAGGAGATGAACTTTAAGATGCATTATATACAGAAACTTCAAGTGGTTATGGAATTATAATCTGTTTTCCAGGAAGGGCTTTGCTTAAACCTACTAAGTGCCAACGGAGACTGGGAGCCAGCACTACATTTGAAATACCCCACACCAGCCTCGTGTGAATGACTTCCCAACGCCATCTCCTCGCTGGGCGGGGAGGATCTCTTCCAGAATCCAGAACGGAGCTGTTGGGGAGATAGCAGCACCCATCTCCTGGGTGTCTGGAATCCCACGGTGGGGCCCCAAGACAATGTGGAGGCTGACGAGGGTGGGAGGACGGCCCAGGTGCAGCTGGCTCAGTCCCTGCGACGCTCTCGGGGAAGTGGGTGTGGCCCAGGACAAGGGGGCCCCACAGGGAGCCGTCTTCTCTGGGGAGAGTCGTTTCTCCAGGTCTGCCAGAAGCATGGAGGGATCATTCTCTAAACTTAGAGTGTTTACACTAGCCTTGACATACTTTAGAAAACATTTCTCCTCAGTATTATTTGCTAGGAAAAATGATGGTATCCTTGGGGGGGAACGCATGGGGCGTGTTACACGCACAACAGACAGACAGACACGGGGGTTTCAAGCTGAAGATGGCCTGACGGTTTGAGAAGTATCACAAACCTACCTCAAACCAAAGTGAAGAGAGAAAAAATGTCATCGCCACGCGGGACTTAACTTCTGGAAACCATGGTCCTGACACTCGATTTCCCTAAACCCCTCAGCACTGCGGGCCTAACTGGGGGCAGGGGAGGGCTCAGGCCAGAAGATACGTGGCCATCCAAACACTCAGCTGTGTGCTAGTCACCCCACATTCAGCAGCCGCCCTGCCTGAGTCCCACCTCTGCTTATTCCCTGGTTACTCGGTGATAAAGGTCAGAACCCCAGCCTCTGCCGTAAGCCCTAGTCCCCCCTCAGCTGGGAGAAAACCTGGAGTAACAAACAGGTAGGCATATGTGCACGTGCACACACAGACACACACACGCAGACCCAGGACTTCAAACAACATGACACACCCAGATGAGTGTTCGGGGGATGCTGAGCTCTGGGCTTGCCATGATCCCATTTCTCCTCTGGGCCCAAACCCCTTGGAGATGCCGAGAGAAGGGGCTGTATTTTCCAGCCAGGACGTCCTTCAGAAAAGGGAAAGACGGATGTTCCACGGATGTGAAAGAACCAAGGGCCACAGGCTTTTTCTTATAACACAAGCAACTGTCCTGGGCAACCAGAGCCTCCTCTCAGGAGCGACTGCTGGCAGCTCTGGGCCCACCTGGAAGCTAAGTCCCTGTAGGATAGAGGTACCCCATTCTGGGCCAGGGCCATACGTGTCCTGGCAGCAAAGTAAAGAGAAGTCATTTGAGCTGAGACGAGAGCTATATTTGTAGAAGTATCTAGGATCCAGCAGATGCTCACCTGCCTGAAAATCTTTCCTGGAATAAAACAGACTATTTTTATTTTTTTCCCACGCAAAAATTTACACAGACATTGTTATGTGACCCTAATTGCTCTCCCCATACTGTGACAGCACACTCCTCCTTTCCACTTGACTCCCCATGTCCATTCAGTCTCTTGTATCTACTTGAGCTAAGAGGCACACTCCTCATGAGTATCACTTTATGTCCCACAGTCCAGTCCAATCCCTGTCTGAAGAGTGGGCCTCAGAAATTGTTTTAGTTCTGGGCTGAGAGAGAATCCGGAGGCCATGCCTTCCAGGGTTCCTTCAGTCTCAGACCATTAAGTCTGGTCTTCTTACTAGAATTTGAGTTCTGTGCCCCACCTTTCTCCTGCTCCATGAGGGACTCTCTGTTCCCCGTCAGGGCGGTCATTGTGGTAGCCAGGCACCATCTAGTTCTTCTGGTCTCAGGCTGATGAAGCCTCTGGTTTATGTGGCCCTTTCTGTCTCTTGGGCTACTACTTTCCTTGTGTCTTTGGTGTTCTTCATTCTCCTTTACTCTGGGTTGTTGGGACCAACTGATGCATCTTAGACGGCTGCTTGCAAGCTTTTAAGACCCCAGACACCACTCACCAAAGTAGGATGCAGAACAAAAAATAGGCTATTTTTAAGAAGGAGGCATTCGGGAATGACTACTAGACCACTGGGGTGAGGATTTCTGTACTCTTCTTCCTTGTTCTACAGACTTCAGAGATGGGGGTGGGGCAAAGTGAGAGAGAGGAGCTGGGCCCTTGGAAGGCAGCTTGTTCACAGAAGGCATGTTTAACTGGTTTACACTCTGCCTTTGCAGACTTCGGATGTATTTAACTGGCTCTTGTCCCATCGTGAATTGGGGTTCAGTTCTATAGTTAACAGACGCTTCCTGAGACCCTACTGTGTCAGGTGCTGCAGCCCAAAGAGACAAGAGCAGCTGGATGTCCTGCAGATTCCAGGGCACAGATTTCACCTCCAGTGCTGATAAGCAAAGCTCATCCCCAGGCAGCCCTTGTCTGAAACACGCTCTCGCGTTACCTACACAAACCATCGAAATGTCTCTGAAATTTCAACATCTGGGGGTCCAAATCACACTCTGACACATGACGAAGCGTGGACGTCTCGGCTCTGGCTCCCCTTCCTGAATGCCTTCTCGGGTCTCCCAAACTTGTCAGTGGATTAGGTCCTCACCTGTGCTTCCACGCGACCTGCACATAATCGCATTGTTGCATTCACTGCAGTATCCGTATCTGTTCTTCTGCTTGCTTCCCCCATTAGATGTGAACTCCTCGAATATCAGAACCGAGTCTGACTCATTCTTCTATTCCCAGTGCTGTGCCCACAGCAACTGTCCAACACACACTGGCTGAGTAATCTCGTACCCTGGTTTATTCTGAATGTCCACTCTGGAGACAACCGTAGGCAGGAACTCGCTCTCCCGGGCCTGGTGTGGAGTCACTGCTGTTTATCTGTCTGAAAACTTGCACTCTGTGATTTCTGGCATGTCCGCCCTGCATCTCAGTGAAGATAACTATTTTCTTTTACTTAACCCGCTTTTGGGGACAGGATTATTTTTAAAGCATCAGAAGTCAGAAAAAATAAGTACCAGCCCCCTTTAATAAGGTAGCAAAATTTGCCAAGAGTAGGCGGTTGTTGCTAGTTGCTGGTGAGTCGATTCTGACTCATGGCGGCCCCAGGTGTGCAGAGTACAACTGCTCCACAGGGTTTTTGAGGCTGTGACCTTTGGGAAGCAGATCACCAGGCCTGTCTTCTGAGGAGCCTCCAGATGGGTTGGAACCGCCAACCTTTCGGCTAGTAGCCGAGCACTTAC